TTTTTTTGAGTTGGAGTCTCACTCCGTCGCCCAGACTGGAGTGCAGTGGCCGCTCCCAGCCACCACAGCCTCGACCTGCTGGGCTCCGGAGATCCTTCTGCCTCAGCCTTCCAAGTAGCTGGAATTACAGGCATGTGCTACCACGCCCAGCTGATTTTTTGATTTATTGTAGAGATAAGGTCTCACTGCCCAGGCGAGTTTCGAACACGTGGGCTCAGGCAATCCACTCACCTCAGCCTCCCCAAGGCGCAGGATTACAGGCTGAGCCACCGAGCCCGGCTATTTTTTTGAATTTATTGAGACTTTATTTGTGGCCTATCATATGGTCTGTCTTGGAGAATGTTCTATGTGCTGATGACAAAAATATATATTCTTTAGTTTTTTTGTCTTTTACTTTTTGAGTTGGAGTCTCACTCTAACCCAGGCTGAAGTGCAGTAGCATGATCATGATGATTATAGCTCACGGCAGCCTCAACTTCCTGGGCTCAGATGATCCTTCCACCTCAGTATCCCGAGTAGCTGGGACTACAGGCCTGCACCCTCATGCCTGGCTAATATTTTGATTTTTTTGTAGAGATGAAGTTTTCCTATGTTGCCCAGGCTGATCTTGAACTCCTGGGCTAAAGCAATCTGCCCGCCTTGGCTTCCCAAAGTGCTGGGATTACAAGTGTGAGATATCACGCCAGGCCTTATTCTGTAGTTTTGGGGTAGAATGTTCTGTAGATGTCAGGTCCATTTGCTCTAGAGTCCAGCTTAGCTCCAGTGTGTCTTTGACTTTCTGCCTTGATAATCTGTCCATTGCTGTCAGTGGAGTGTTGAAGTCTCACATTAATAATGTATTACTGTCTATCTCTTTTCTTACTTAGGTCTAGTAGAATTTATTTTTTAAAGCTGGGAGCTCTGGTGTTAGGTGCATATACAAAAGATACCCCAAAAATGTGTTCACATTTTAAGTATGATGTTTGCTTGAAAGATAGTGTTTATCAAATGAATGCTAGTGTCACTATGCGACAGGTAGGACAGTCAAAGCAAATGGCAGAAGCACCATTGTGCAAATGTCATACTGCACATTGTACCACAATTCAATTCAACTTCAAAAAGTAATACATAGATCTCTTAAAATGTGTGTACATTTTTTGGCACCCTTGTATATTTAAAATTGTTATGTCTTCTTATTGGATTGATCCCCTTCTCATTATATAGTAGCCATCTTTGGTTTTTTCTACTGATGTTAATTTAAAATTTGTTTTATATGATATGAGAATGGCTACTTCTGCTCATTTTGGGTTTCCATTTGCATGGAATATTTTTTCCCACCCCTTTTACCTTGAGTCTATAGTAGTCTTTGTGTGTTAAATATGACTCTTGAAGGCCACAGATATTTGAATTGTGGGGTTTTTTAAAAATGAAATCTACCAGTCTGTATCTTTTAAGTGGGGCATTGAGACCACTTACATTCAGGGTTAATTATGATATATAAGGTACTATTCCATTCATTATGCTGGTTGTTACCTGGTTCTTTTTTTCCCTCTATTGTTTTGGTGTTCTGTAACACCAGCGTTTGCTTGTCTGAGAAAGACTTTATTTTTCTTTCATTTATGCAACTTAGTTTAGTTTAGTTTTTTTTTTTGTTGGAGTCTCACTCTATAACCCAGGCTGGAGTGCAGTGGCACACTCATGGCTACCACAGCCTTGACTTGCTGGGCTCAGGTGATTCTTCCGCCTCAACCTTCCAAGTAGCTAGAACTACAGGCATGCACCATCACGCCCGGCTAACTTTTTAATTTTTTTTTTTTTGAGTTGGAGTCTCACTCTGTCGCCCAGACTGGAGTACAGTGGCCACTCCTGGCCACCGCAGCCTTGACCTGCTGGGCTCTGGTGATCCTTCCGCCTCAGCCTTCCAAGTAGCCAGAATTACAGGCATGCGCTACCATGCCCGGCTGATTTTTTGATTTATTGTAGAGATGAGGTCTCGCTGCCCAGGCGGGTCTCGAATCCGCGGGCTCAGGCAATCCATTCACCTCAGCCTCCCAAAGGCGCAGGATTACAGGCTGAGCCACCAAGCCTGGCCTTTTTAATTTTTGTTGTAGAAACGATGTCTTGCCAAGTTGCCCAGGCTGGTCTTGAACCTCTGGGCTCAGACGGTCCTCTCACCTCTGCCTCCCAAAGTGCTGGGACTACAGACGTGCGCCCTTGTGCCTGGCTGAAACTTAATTTTGTGATATACAAAATCCTTGGCTGTTATTCTGTTTTGGAGATTAAAGATAGGGCCTCAATCCATCCTGACTTGTAGAGTTTCTGCTCATAAAGTTTGCAATGGTAGCTGTGGGCTTTCTGGCATATTTTGCTCCATGGGAAGTACCCAGCCAACTTTGGTCATGGGGTGCTGTGTCTTAAGCTTTAGAGGGGGCTGAGGGGCACATGCTCAAGTTCCCCAACTGTATGTACAATTGGCTGGCTACCCTAGTGGGGATTGGCAAGGAGTCCTGGGCACTGGGATAACGGTTGCTGTATTGTGCAGAGGCTACACAAAAGAATTTTCATGGAGAGTGAAAAGTTGCTATGGCGCTGAGTCCCACCTAGCTCCTTCACCTTAGCCTCTCAGGCAGTCTGGATTCAGAATGTCAAAGTGCAACTGGCCTTAGGTGTTCTCACAACAGCCTACCCCAGCCAGGAACTTTCTCTGGCAGCAGAATTTACCCCTGGAGATCATTCTTTCCCAGGCTGATTAGAAAGCAGCCACAGCCAAGGGTTGAGTTCCCAGGAAATGGTGTCTAGAGCCATCTAGGGCTTTTTTTTCCTGGAGTTCCATGAGGCTCCGGGGGCCTTGCAAGTCCATGGCAGGCACAGAACTCCCAAATTTCCCTCATTCACCTCCCCTCCTGCATCTAGATGCAGCTCATGGTCTGTGCAGTTATGTAGTTGGATCTGCTAGTTCCAACTTAGGCTGATCTCTTCTGTGCATTCTGTGGGTATTATCACTTCTTTGGTGGGTCATGGTGATATGGTCCCTGGAACACACGACTGCTCTCTTGCTTGCCAATGAAACCCAAGAGGCAGGGAAATGGGAGGAAAGAAGTTTATTTCTGAATTTGGAATTCAGGGAGACAAGCCAGTATAGATACCAAGGCCAACTCAGCTCCTCAGATTTTACACTCTATTTACAAGCATAAGCATTGGCGTTTGCTACTGATAAACATCAAACTATGTAACTTACAAAACATTCTGTAAGATTCCAGTTTCAATTGAGTTTCATCAGTTATAACATTCATTGTCTGCATATTCTTAGTACCCATTACGGGAACCTGTAATTCTAGTTTATCAGTAACTCTAAGCAAAGATGTTAACAGAACTTACTACAAAGTGAAACATTATTCGTTGTGATACATCATTAGCCCTTGGGTACAATGAAACAAAAAGAAATGTACTGGTTATGGTTACATGCTTAATATAACAACGTATTTCATTAACTATGTGACTAAGACCATGGGGTCTGTGACTTGTTCTGTTTTAGGGAGGGTCAGCACAGTCTTATGATTCTAAGGAATGCAGGTATGTGGAGGGAAGTAACCCTAAACAATCCAACATTTTTAGTAGTAGAGGGCTACTTTAAGAGGGCCTCTTAATCAGTGGGGCATGCTGTTGGTTCTGTTCCTGAGTGCTGAATAACCCTCTCTATTTTGGTTTACTCCATGGGAGAATAACACTCTAGATGCTTCTTGTCAACCATCTTAATCTGTACCTGAATTGGTAATTTTTTTTTTTTTTTTTTTTTTTGAGTTGGAGTCTCACTTTGTCACCCTGGCTGGAGTGCAGTGGCACGCTCATGGCCACTGCAGCCTCGACCTGCTGGGCTCCGGCGATCCTTCCGCCTCAGCCTTCCAAGTAGCTGGAATTACAGGCATGCACTACCACGCCTGGCTGATTTTTTGATTTATCGTAGAGATGAGGTCTCACTGCCCAGGTGGGTCTCGAACCCATGGGCTCAAGCAATCCACTCACCTCAGCCTCCCAAAGCGTGTGATTACAGGCTGAGCCACCAAGCCCGGCAGAATTGGTAATTATTACAGCTGGGTGATTGGTTCATGAGGTTTATCTTTACTTTTGAATAAGTTTGAAATTTTCTGTAATCAAATGTTTATAGAACAGAAAGCCAGGGTTTAATCTGGTATGTGCGATTCTAGAATGCTAACTCTTAACCATTATACTATTTTACCATAATGTGGTTATATCACCATAAAAGAGCATTTCTGTGACACCTAGAAATCATTTTTAAAAATTTTAATAGTTATGTATTTATTTTAATGTTACCTTCTGTTTGTGGCAAGAAAACTGCAAGTTTTCCATTTATGAAAGCAATATAAGCCGGGCTCGGTGGCTCAGCCTGTAATCCCGCGCCTTTGGGAGGCTGAGGTGAGTGGATTGCCTGAGACCGCAGGTTCGAGACCCACCTGGGCAGCGAGACCTCATCTCTACAATAAATCAAAAAATCAGCCAGGCGTGGTAGTGCATGTCTGTAATTCCGGCTACTTGGAAGGCTGAGGTGGAAGAATCGCCGGAGCCCAGCAGATCGAGGCTTTGGTGGCCGGGAGTGGCCACTACACTCCAGTCTGGGCGACAGAGTGAGACTCCAACTCAAAAAAAAAAAAGAAAAAAAAGAAAGAAAGCAATATAAAGTGTACTTATAAGATAAATTTCAGTAAAAAAAATTGACCTAAAGAAAAATTGTATGTTGTAACAATAAAATTGGAACCTTTACTATGCTGTACCAACTCCATTGGTGCAAATGGTGAAACAAAGAAGTATTTTATAAACTTTGCTTACAACCCTAGTATTCACATTTTCACATTTTAATGTCTGCTAAACTCTTGAAAGGAGGAGTATTTTGCATAAAACTCTGTGTGTGTGTGTGTGTGTGTGTGTGTGTGTGTGTGTGCGCGCGCCTGTATCTTCAAAGGCCTTAACCCTTATAATAAATAGGATTTTTTTTATTGTTACAGAATGTCATACCCAGGCTATCCCCCCACAGGCTACCCACCTTTCCCTGGATATCCTGTAAGTATTGCCACTTAAAATACTAAAATAATTAATTCACTTCCTTGGAATAGGTATCGTATAGGACTAGTCCATGACAAATCTTACAGATATACTAGACCGGGTGTTATAAACTCAAATGCCCAGAGTTGCTGACTAGAATAAGTTAGTTAAGGCAGGTGTTGTGGGAGAACTAGAGAGCATTTGCCTCGTGCATGGAAAGCTGGCAGCTGTTTAGCACAAGCCCCATGGGCCCTGCAGGGAGACAGACCCAGTGTTGCTAGATAACGCAGTTCTTCAAGTAAAGCCAGAAACTTGGGTTTTATGTGAAGCTGCCCAATTTTTTTAGGTTTAGGAGTTAGTTTTTTAACTATTAACTGCTGTCCCACAAGTCACCAGTTTTTAACCTTTGTGTTAGGAGGTTTAAAATAATTAAAAAGGGCTTGACTCAGAGATGACAAATTGCAGTAGATCTGAGGGCCCTGAATGTGTAGTTCTGAGACCTTTACTGTTTGGGGTACATCATATAAATGTGCTACTAAAGTTCACCTTGTTGATGGCTGTACTATTCTGAGGATTAAAATCAGAGCTAAGGCATAAGTAAGAATTATGTGTTTCAGTTTTATACTCTTAAGTATGTAGGGCTGCTGTCTAACCCTGGGAGAATAGAAAGGGCCTCTATAAGTTAATGATAATATGTGTATCTTTATGTAAAACGATTATATAACTTGTGAGTTTGTTGTAGGAGAGATGAGAATTATGAATATATTCCCAAGTCTCTGGTCTAAACTGTACTCTAGTAACTGCTTCAGTCAGTGTAGGCTAATTGCTAAGATATACAATCCTAAAACTCAATGGCTTAGCACAATAAAAATACATTTCTTGCTTACTTCAGACTTCTGGAAGTCAGTAGTGTAATAGGAGGTGAGTGGGAACAGGCTTTGTTTGATGCAGTTTTTCAGGTTTCTTACTCCTTCTTCATATTGATCTTACCATTCTCTAGCACCTTAAAGTCCTCCATTGTTTATGGCTAGCAGATGGAGAGAACATAGAGGATTTGGGTGGCTGGAAGTGGTGTATATCACTTCTGTTTGTACTTATTCACTAATATTCAGTTATGTTGTCCTACCTAACTGCAAGGGTTCTGGGGAATGTAGTCAATCTAGCCTGGAGAGAAAGATTTTAGTGAATATGCAACAGTCTCTGCCACTCTTAGACATTGTCTGGTCTGACCTGTGAGGTCCAGAATGTCACATTCCATGAATGATTTGGGTCCCCTTGGTTTTTTGTTTTTGAATATTATGTAACAGGTCCTGGTGTGTTAAGGGAAAGCCACAAATTTCTCTCTTTAGGATAAACAGGAGGCTCTTTCCCATATTTCTAGATGCTAGGAAAATGAAGGAACTAATGAGCTTTCTTGGTTGTTCCTGAAGCCTTGAGTTTTATGAAGAACCCAATTCTCACTTCCATATAGAGAAGCACTCTCGTGCCTGATCCAACTAGAATTTAATTTAACTGAATTCTGACAAACAAGTGTCTTGACAAACTAGTATACTGCTAAATACCAAAATATCCAATCTAAATGGGACTTTATTAGACACCCAAATATCTAATCTAAATGGAACTTTTAAAAAGTGAAAGAAGGAGGCCCAGGTGAGAGGTTTGCCTCAGCCCATGGATTCAAGGCCAGCCTGGGCAACTTTGCGAGGCCTCTTCACTACAATAAATCAAAAAATTAGCTGGATGTGGTAGTGTGCACCTGTAGTTCCAGCTACTTGGAAGGCTGAGGTAAAAGGATTGCCTGAACCCAGCAGGTTGAGACTGTGGTGGCCATGAGCATGCCACTGTACTCCAGTCTGGGTGACGGAGTGAGACTCCGACTCAAAAAAAAAAAAAGTAAAAGAACAAGCTAGATCTTAGAAGTAATCTCTTTCTGTTCCTTATTTTTAGGTGAGTCATATTTCTCTATGATCACATTTGTTTGAAAAGTATTCTGTTTTCCAGCCTGCAGGTCAGGAGTCATCTTTCCCCCCTCCTGGTCAGTATCCTTATCCTAGTGGCTTTCCTCCAATGGGGGGAGGTGCCTACCCACAAGTGCCAAGTAGTGGCTACCCAGGAGCTGGAGGCTATCCTGCACCTGGAGGTTATCCAGCCCCTGGAGTCTATCCTGGTACTCCACAGCCAGGGGGAGCTCCATCCTATCCTGCAGGTGAGTTATGGGTTGTGTAATTAGCAATGATTTGGCATTACTTGAAGCACGTTTTCCTTTTCTCCTTTATCTTCTTCATTTCTGCTTATTCTGTTTGAAGTCAGAGTTGTTCTTAGGTAACCTTAGACAGTAAGGACATAGTTGGCAAGAGAGAGGGATAAGGGTTCTCAGGGAGCATGAAAGTTGGGAGCAGTTTCAAAAATTCTATTGTGAGACCTGGCGTGGTGGCTCAAGCCTGTAATCCCAGCACTTTGGGAGGCCGAGGTGAGGAGAATGCTTGCATTTGTGGGTAAAAAAAATAAAATAAAAAAATCCCATTGTGAAGGGAATTGGAATAAATTTCATGGTAATACACAGTTTTATTATTTATAATTTTTTTTTTTTTGAGTTAGAGGTCTTACTCTGTTGCCCAGACTTAAGTGCTGTGGCACAGTCATGGCTTACCACAGCCTCAACCTCTTAGGGTCAGGCGATCTTTCTGCTTCAGCCTCCCAGGCTGAGACTACAGGCACATGCCTCCCTAATTTATTTTTTATTTTTTTTGTAGAGACGAGGTCATGTTGTATTGCCCAGGCTGGTCTCGAACTCCTGGGCTCAAGCAATCTTACCTTGGCCTCCTAAAGTGCTAGAATTACAGGCATGAGCCACTGCATCCAATTGATTATTTGTAATCTTTTTTTTTAATCAATATTTTTTATTTTGATATTGTGGGGTACAGTTAAGGGTTAGGTATACAAATATGTTTCATTCAGACCCCCTTGTTGATAACAGGTGTCTCCCCGTCCCCAGACAGATGTTTACTACCATTAGTCCCATCCCCCCCCATAGTTTCCCACCACTGTCAGTCATTTTCTTATGGTATTACGTTGGATGATCAAGGTCCACTATATGAGTGAGAACATGTGATACTCAGATCTTTGTTTCTGAGAGAGGTCACTCAGTATTATAGACTCTAGCTCCATCCAGGTTGCAGCGAAATTCATGATTTTGTTCTTTTTTATGGCTGCATACTATTTCATTGTGTATATGTACCACATTTTTTAATCTGCT